GTGGGAATCTTTACTATGCTATATATTAATGAAATTAGCGTCAAAAACAATGGACATCAAATTGAGATAAAAAAAAACAACAACAAACAAACACAATAAACACAGAGCATCTCATCTTACTCATGCCTTCGCTCAGTAAGTCCCTTTAAGCAGCAAGCACAGTGCTGGGCGCTTCCCAAGCATCTATGAGGATCAATCTTTGGGAGTTTCAAATTCTAGTCAGGGGATATTCGACGCATAAATAATGATGAGATCAGATGTGATATGTGGCATACATACAAGGACAGAACATTTTAAAATTGAAGGAGCGATTACTTCTGGTTGTTGTAATCATGGTGGCTTGATAAAGTTGGAGATGTTTATTTTATTTTATTATTATTATTATTATTATTATTATTATATATATTTTTTTAGAGAATTACAATGATAGCAATGTTTTTTTTTTCATGTATTTTATTGACTTTTTTACAGAGAGGAAGGGAGAGAGAGAGTTAAAAACATCGATGAGAGAGAAACATCGATCAGCTGCCTCTTGCACATCCCCTTCTGGGGATGTGCCTGGAACCAAGGTACATGCCCTTGACTGGAATCGAACCTGGGGCCTTTCAGTCTTCAAGCTGATGCTCTATCCACTGAGCCAAACCGGTTTCAGCAAAGTTGGGGATTTTTATAGAGGTATTTCATCAAGTGGAGGGCTATGGGGATGTGAGGGGCAGAGCGAGTGTTCAGTTTGGTTGAAGCACAAGCCACATAGAAGGAATCAGACAGCTAAGGCTGGAGGAGCCGAGGTCTGAATGGCCCCCTGAGCAGAGGACTCACACTGCAGGCTGAAGGGAGGCTGTGAACAGGAACTGGAATGGCTGAGAGTGAGTTCTAAGGCGATAAATCTTGGCAGTAGTAGATAAGCGGCAGATAAGACCCATTAAGTGGAAGAGAGAATGGAAACCATTTAGGAGGCTATTGAAATAGTCTAGGACAGCAGTAATGGGAGTCTGAAATGAAGGCAGATGCCTTGAAATAGAAAATAAAGGAGTGGATTCAAGAGGTCCTAGCAAAGGCTTCTCAAGTCACTCTTTCCCAAGAAACAGGAGGACGTGAAGTAGAGCTGCTGCTGCTGCTGTTTGGGTCCACAGCTAACTCACATTTGGGTCCACAGCTAACTCACATATTTTTGAAGATAAATATTTTATCACATGATTTAAGAATGCAGCAGCTTCACAATAGTACCTAGTTGTTTTCTGGGTGGTTCAGAATTTACAAAACCTATTAATCATGCTATTTTTAGAGCATTTCCTAGTTTTTAAGTAAGAATCTTAATTGAAGAAATAATACATATCTGGGGTAAAATTCCAAATGAACAGTACACAGTATGTGAGACAGAACCTCCACACGTAAAATATCTAACAACCTCTGTCCAATATTTGAGAGGCAACTACTGCTATTACTTTCTAAGACATTGTTCAGAAATGTTCTATGTATTTATTTTATTTTATTTTATTTTATTTTATTTTTAAAGTATTACAAATAGTAGTACATATAAAAGCTTAAATACATACCTATATTCTCTTCTTCCCTCTTTGGATCCAATGCTACCATTCTGCTCTTAAATGATTCCCTCCTCTCTACTTCCACAACTCTCTCTCTAGTATAGGGTTTCTCAGCTCATCACAATTGACATTTGGATAACATCTTGTTGTTGGGCTGTCCTGTGCCATGTACATCACAGGTTTATAGAGAGCATCCCTGGCCTCTGCACCCAAGATAGTGTAACACTCCCCAGTTTTGACAACCAAAAAGGCCTCCAGCAGCTGGCAAATATGCCCTGGAGGGCCAATTATCCTGACTGAGGACCACTGCACCAATAAAACATTTCTATCACCCCATGTTTCATTAAATCCAACTGTTTATGTTCTCTCCTCAAGTCTGTATGCTTCTTTAGTGAAGGTATGATATCTTGATTCATTTCTTGATTTTTATGACATAGTACTTTGCTCACACTGTCTACTTCACAGAGTTGTTAAATGAAAGAAATAGACATGGTGTTGAATATAATTAATGTTGTATATCTTAAGCACCATGAAATTCTCATTAAAGTAGAAAGTACTAATATGCTAATAAGTTTCCAGGGTACTTGTGGGTGTTACTACTCAAATGTCATAGACATTTTCATCATTATTGGGAGGCAAAAAACTCAACAGGTGACAAGAATACCAACCATGTAAGGTAGAGCATATGACGCCAAATAAATGATGCAGGGATCAAATGATACTGAATTTAGAGAAAGCTGAGAGGCAATTCGTATATTAACATGTGTGTGTGTGTGTGTGTGTGTGTGTGTGTGTGTGTGTGTGGAGAGAGAGAGAGAGAGAGAGAGAGAGAGAGAGAGAGAGAGAGAGAGAGAGAGAGAGAGAGAGAGAGAGAGAGAGAGAGAGAGAGAGAGAGAGAGAGAGAGAGAGAGAGAGAGAGAGAGAGAGAGAGAAGAGAGAGAGAGAGAGAGAGAGAGAGAGAGAGAGAAGGATGTATTGATGTATTGGTTGGGGTGGCTGACATGCTGTGGCTACTAAGACTCTGGCAAAACTTGAATTTAAGAATTAAAGAGTTCCCACTGAAAGCTTGAGATACAGGCTTTAGATCATTCATCAAGCTATCTTGAGGACATGAACAAGGTAGGTATGGGGCTGCCCAATTCTGGATTTCTTACTGAAATTTTAGGAATATATGTCCCAAGAAGTGAAATGTGTAAAGTTCCCCAAGGAAAGCTCTTTTATCCTTCCCTCCCTCGTTTGTTCCTTTAATGAACATCTACTGTGCCCAGGATGTGTAGGCCCCGTGCCAGGAACGGGAAATGCAGCAGTGAGCAAGGTGCAGAGAATTCAGTTCTGATGGAGGTTTGATCAAATAAGCAGGGACTTCACAGATATCCGATACAATATGAACTCTGAAAGATCCTACTGCTTTTTCTAATCCTCCAACCAGCTGCATTCATAATGTATATCTATGCTCTCGTGTCTCTGTACACAGCAAAGGCAATTAAACATTACCTTATAGACCTTCCAGATAAGCCAAAAATTTTAAGCTACACTGACCACAATAATTGACTTGCCATTGCAGTGTTACTTCCTCAGGACTGAAAAGCAGCAGACAGTCTATGTGTGTGAAATAATGGCCTAGATGTTTGGGTGGGACAGTGAGAGTGAATCTCTAATCAAACTGAAAATACAGCCATAGTCACAAAGCAGAATGCAATTATCCAGTTGGAATCTGGTCAGAATGGTAGACAGATTCGCTCAGTTCTTAAGAAAGGGAGCACAGACCTTTAGATTATACTCCACTTGAGTCATGAAAGTATTTCTGACTCAAGTTCAAAGGCCCCCTTTACCTTTAGCATCTCCACCAGTACCTCCTTCTTGACAATCTCATGAAAGAGTTCAGAACCTCAGTCACTGGATGTGAGTCATGAAAACCTTTACTCAAGGGGGATTTACTTCCTTCGTGCGCATAGCAGACATTTAGGGAAGCTTATTAGTGTTTCACAACGTAAGCTCTCTAAATAAGGGGTAGAAGATGTGGCATCGGACACATCAATATCATCTCACTCTTGGAAGTTCAGTGCGGCTTAGAAAACAGTCTGCTCAGTCCTACATCTGGGAGGACAAGGCTTTCTTGATCTGTAGACTCCTTGAGAATTTATTGAAAGCAATGTATGTGCTATCCCGGTGTTCTCTCTCTCCCTTCCTCCCTCTCTCTCTCCCAGTCTTCAATAGGAAGGCACACTATATGTAATTTCAGGGATGAAGACCTTTGAATTCAGTCCATGGGTCCTTACACTCCAGGTTTAGAAGCTATTATTTGGCCAGCTTGATTGTCTGTAGGTTGCTACTTCAGGAGAAGAAAACTAAATTCTCTCCTGCAACTCACGAACTGCTAAGAAAATCTTCTACCACCTCAGTTCTCTCTAGATGGAGAATTTGGTTCAAAACATAGCATATAAAGAGGTCTTACATGTTGAGTTTCTTTTATCTTGCGATATATTTGACTTTATCTCATAAAAAGCAGATTGCTTTTATTTTCTGCTTTATAATAGAAATGATAGAAGACAATCATTGTATAAGTTAAGTCTCAAACTCACAAGTAGCTTAATTCTATGATAAATATCTTGGGGTTGGCTACTTAAAGGTATTTCCAAAAAGATTTTGCATATTCTAAGTACTTTAATGTTGGTAATATAGTATGATATTTTACAATGAACAAATTAGGGCAACTTAATCAAATTATTTCAAGTGAATTTTATTTTCTTGGAATATTTAAAATAAATTACTTAATATCTAACATGCTGGGTATGTTTTGAAGCTACTTCTTCAAAACCAATGTTTTTTATTGAAGACTTAGAATAATATTTGCATCATCTCATTAAGTACTATTTTAAAAAAGTATTTAATTCTCACAGTAGAAACTCATTTATCATCTCTTCCTCCTTTCTTTTCTCTATGATTTATTAGTTCTGGACATATTGAGATATTCGATCAACACATTTATTGATTATGTACTCTGCAAGGCATTGGATCTGATGATATGGGAAGTTCAAAGATAAGACAGGTCTTCTGGAGACTATAATCTATTTTTAAAGATAAAACATGAACCAGGATAATATAAACTTAATGTTTTGACTATATTTATAATTTTGCTTATAGAAGTTAAACATAGTTATTATATTTATCTGGAAAATATACTTTATCTCAGAAATCCACAATAAATAGATAATTCAACATCCCTTTAAAAAGCTTTTATGAAATAACATAAGAGAAAAAGAGATGAGAGAGAAACATCAATCGGTTACTTCCCACACACACCCAGACTGGGAATTGAACTTATAACCTGGGTATGTGCCCAGGCCAGGAATTGAATCTACCCATTTCCAGTGTATGGAATAATGCTCCAACCAACCAATCCAACCAGGGCAAAATAACATTTTTTTTTTTTAAATTGGTGTTTTTTCCTACCAGTCAAGGCTGTCAAATTTGCATTTTTGGTGAAAACTTCAGTTATTCCAAGAGCCTTCAAAGCATCTTTTAAATCAATTTCCTGTTCCACTGTGAACCTGGAGAACACAAGAGGGAAAATTAGTCACTGCTTATTTAAAGTATTCCTTTATAGTATCTTGTTCCCTGGGACGAGAATAAAATGTTAGATATGTAGATGTTTAAAGCCTGTTTTATGAGGGAAAATTATACTAAAACTGGGTTTTGATTGCAAATAGTATTTGATTGTGGGAGGTGTCAAATGGAATAAAATAACAGGAGAGTATTAAATTAAGTAGGAAAATACATAATATGGGCACAATACCATAATATATGGTGGAATAAATGAGTTTTGAGATAAAAAAAAATTACCATAGTATTGTGTAAAATTTGTACATAAACAGTTTTCTTTTCTTTTCTTTTTTTAAAAATATTTTTTATTGATTTTTCACAGAGAGGAAGAGAGAGGAATAGAGAGTTAGAAACATCGATGAGAGAGAATCATCGATCAGCTGCCTCTTGCACACTCCCTACTGGGGATGTGCCCGCAACAAAGGTACATGCCCTTGACTGGAATCGAATTTGGGACCTTTCAGTCCACAGACCGATGCTCTATCCACTGAGCCAAACAGGTTTCGGCAGTACATAAAATTTTCAAGTCCTTTGACCTATACTAAATATATTTGTTGTTTTTTTTTTAAGCTGGTAATGATTAATCACATATTTCCCCAAGATGCTTCATTCCATTTTTAGTACCCTGGTCAACTTTCTACCCAATGAAAAAAATTAAATAAGAGCCAAGTTTTGCTATAAAATGAATACATCCAGCATTTTAACTCCATGTAACTCACAGAAAGAAAACATAAAACTATCATGTTTAAAAATATGTATGTTTTAGGAGAATCCAAGATGGCTGCACAGGTCAACACCTAGCCACAGCCACATACAACAATTTCAATAAAATAAAACTAAAATATAAATGGACATTACCCAGAACTACAGGAAAGTCAAATGACTGGAAATTCTACAAGAAGCAAGGAGAAAACCAGAAGGAAACACAAAGGAGCTGTAAAAGCCTGAGGTGTGGAGACACACGGCGCGCGCAGAGAGGACGGAGCCAGAAAGGAGAGGCTGAGTGCCTGGCTGGCATTCCCTAGCGGGAAGGAGATAAAAGCTCCGACTGTGCTGAACCCCAGACCCGACAGCGCTGAACCCCAGTTCTAGGCCAGACCCTGGGGACCCAGGCTCAAACAGAGGGAGCCAGGGCTGTGAAGCGGAATCCCAAGGGAGCAGCGAAAGGCAGAGACCCCGGAGTTGCGCACATTGTGCGCAGAGGACAGACTGTTGACTCACAAAAGCTCCGGACTGTGCTGGGCCCCAGTTCCAACTGCTCTGCACCCCAGTTCTAGGCAGACCCCGGGGACCCAGGCTCATCCAGAGGGAGCTGGGCTGTAAGGCGGAACCCCGGGGGAGCAGTGAAAGGCAGAGCCCCCGGAGGCACGCACATTGTGTGCAGAGAAGGGATGGTTGGCTATGCTGCGGGATTGCCCTGGCGGGAAGGAGACAGGGACTCCAGACTGCTCTGAACGCCACCTCCAACCCCACTTCCAACTGAACTGAACCCCAGTTCCGGGCTCATTGGGGGAGAGCCTAGACTGTTTGGTAGCAGGCAAAAATTGAGGGCACCTTTCTCTCAGAGGTGCTTGCAAGGAATACTGAAGGACCCTGGGGATTACTGAGACTCAGGAACTGCATAGGGCAGGGCTGACAGAAGCCAAGGCTGTAGTCTCCACCCTGAAACTCCGCCCCATCAGGGAAGCTGCGAAAATGCCGAGACAAGAAAATAGATCACAAACGAAAGAAATGGAGGACAAAAAGTGACTGGAGATAGAGTTCAAATCTACACTTATAAAGATTTTCAAGAATTTCCTAGAAAAGGTCGATAAGACCTATGAGGATATGAAAAGATATCAACTAGAAATAATAAGGATCAACAAGATATGATAAGGGATCAACAAGAAATGATAAGGGATCAACAAGAAATAATAAGGGATCAACAAGAAATAAAGAATACATTGTCTGAAATAAAAAATATTATACAGAGTCCTAAAAACAGAATGGAAGATCGCAAGAATCAAGTCAAAGATTTGGAACATAAAGAGCCAGAAGACACTCCGCAGAATCAAGAAGGCAAGAGAATCCAGAAAATTGAAGATAAAGTAAGAAACCTCTGGGACAACTTCAAGCAAACCAACATCAGATTTATGGGGGTCCCAGAAGATGAGAGAGAGAGCAAGATATCGAAAACATACTGAAAGAAATAGTGACAGAAAACTTCCCCCACCTGGTGAAAGAATTAGACTTACAAGTTCAGGAAGCGCACAGAACTCCAAACAAAAGGAATCCAAAGAAGACCACACCAAGACAAATCATAATTAAAATTCCAAGAGCAAAAGACAAAGAGAGAATATTAAAAGCAGCAAGAGCAAAGCAGGTAGTTACCTATAAAGAAGCACCTATACGATTGTCAGCTGATTTCTCAACAGAAACCATGCAGGCCACACGGGAATGGCAAGAAATATTCAAGGTGATGAATAGTAAGAACCTACAGCCAAAAATCTATCACTCAGAATCGAGGCCAGATAAAGAGCTTCACCAATAAAAAAAAAAAGCTAAAGGAGTTCATCACCACCAAACCAGAATTATATGAATTGCTGAAGGGGGTTCTTTTGGAAGAGAAAGTAAATAAAGATAAAAATTATGAGCAACAAATATGTAACTATCAACAAGTGAATCTAAAAACCAAGGAAATTAAAAAAAAATCTGATGAACAATATTAACTGTTGAATATAATAGAATCAGAGGTATGGAAGGGGAGTGAACTGACGATTCTTGGGGAAAAGGGAAGAGGGGGATGTGGGAATAGACTGAACATAAACTGTGCACCTATGGATGAGGATAATGGGGGGTGGGGAAAGGGCAGAGGGTGGGGTGGGAACCTAGTGGAGGAGAGCAATGGGGGGGGGAGGGAGAGGAACATTTGTAATAATATGAACAATAAAAATTTATTTAAAAAAGTAAATTACATAACAAACTGAAAGACAAAAATCATATCAATAGATGTAGAAAAAGCATTCAACAAAATGCAACACACACACACACATACACACACACACAAAAGTATGTTTTCACTTATATTAACCTCTAAGACATAAGCCTGTTCTCAGGGTAGCATCCCACAAAAATTGTTAATCAATGAAAGTGAGTTAAAAATTATATCTTAAAAACTATGCATTTTTATAATTATACAGAAATTTTAAAATCAAGAATAATAGATCTTTTTGTTCCAATGAATTAGTATACATAATTAATATACTATATGATTTATGACACATAATTGTGCCTCATTTTTGTAAAAATAAATACAACATTATTTAAAAATGTAGAAATATGAACAGTGGTCATAAACAGAACATTAATTTAAAAAATGGTTTTCACAGAAATCTCTCTCAAACCAATGAATTATATGAATTGTACCACTCATCTTACTAATAAAAGATATGGACTAAATATGGGTGAATTAACAAACAAATGCATTTGTTAAAAGCAAAGGGTTTTAATACTTTCTTAAAAAATATATATATATATATAATATGTGTGTGTATATTTTTTAAGAAAATATTAAATATATTATTGATTTTTACAGAAAGAAAGTGAAAGGGATAGAGAATAAGAAACATCGATGAGAAAGAAACATCAATCAGCTGCCTCCTGTGCATTCACTACTGGGAATGTGCCCACAACCAAGGTACATGCCCTTGATTGGAATCGAACCTGGGATCCTTCAATCCACAGGCCGACACTCTATCCAATGAGCTAAAGCAGTTAGGGCTTAATACTTTCTATAAAAAGTGAAAACAACTGGTTAGAACTAAATGTGCCTCCTGATCAATGTGGATGAAAACATAAATTTTAGGCAATGACTGTGTACCTAACAGAGCTAAGTGCGATAGTCACTAATCGTCTCAGCATCACTTCTGACCTCCGGTTTTAAGAAGAGTGACAAGGGAATGATTGGTATAAATGAGACAGACACCAGGAGGAGTGATTAGTTTTAGCAGGTCTATGTTTATGAAAAAATCAGAGCAAAAGACAAGGAAATGTACAGCAAACGTACTAAACTAAGTACTAAATTTTATCTATATCCCACATTTTAACTTGGACTTAATGCTTTTATTTTTTACAAAAAAGTAGATATCTATTATAAAACTACAAAAGGGGATGAATAGGAAATTATGGAATATCTTAGAGAATACATTTGATGACTTGATTAAGGTTTTTTGTGTGTGCTTTATTATCATTATTAATTTATTTTTGATCACTTATATGGATCTTACTATATATTTATAAGAATAGAAAGAACAGTAATATAAAAAACAGTAGAAAAAATGGCAGCCCTTTGAAGTAGGTATTGTTGTTATTATTATTATTATTATTATTATTATCATTATCATTATTATCCCTAGTTAAAAGAAGAAGAAGCTGAGGGCAGAAAGATGAAATAACCTGACTAGGCCATGCAGCTAAATAAATGGTAAGACTGGGTCAGGGGTCCAGGTGGCACGGTATTTTCCTGATTCTCCTAAAATAGAAAGGAAAGGGAGCTGTCAGGACAGAATTCTTTTTATCTCTTAAAATTAACTTGTTTGTTTCGCAATTCTGAGGCCGGCTGTTTTGGTGAGGACAGCAATTTAGCCAGACTTACGTGGGCAAGTTTCTTGATTTCCATATGCCTCAATTTTGGCATATGGAAAATGGCAATAATAGTAAAACCACTTCATAGCATTTTTGAGGGGATTAAGTGAGATTTCTCAGTCTTATGATGGTGTTGGCATGTAGCAGGCATGTGATAAATGACAATACTGTTAATGGTCCTTATTATATTGAAATTATGTATAATAGTACATTATTATACTGTTGAGATGTATGAATTTGAATTTTAGTGGTGATGAAGTAACTTGATTAAGTAGCTGTATTAATCCCTGCTATTTTCACTGCAAATTAATCAAATCTAGTATCT